TGCTGAAACGAGAGTCATTTAGGACAGACTGTTGTAAAGATGCAGTGTTGGGTGAAAAAGTGCACTGAATCCGTTGACTTTTCTGTCCCTTTGCCCTTAGGGACAAAGGGATGAAACACATGGTTGGCAAGAACTGGCGGGACTTATTCGACATGGTCATCGTGCAAGCCGACAAGCCCAACTTCTTCACCGATCGGCGGAAGTACGTGTCCCGGGGCAATACCTCGCTGCTGTGTGTGGAGTAAAGGGATCCTTTTACCTTCCTAAAGAGTAGTGGGTTTGTAAGTGTAATCTAGGTCCATAATCTGAGCTAGGCATCCAGCCTGCCGCTGCCCTCTCAGATACCCTCTGGAGATGAAAACTGACCACTCTGGGAACAAGAGGATGGAACGGGTAGTGCCAAGCAGAACGTGTTTCTAAAATTGGCTGTCTTAAGCCTCAGGAGTTTTGTCATGGTCTGGGCTTTACTTAGATTTTTAGGGGTAATAATGTACTTAAAACTTCAGAAAGAAAGGAGGAGTGGAATGGTGTGTGTGAGAGCTGGCCGTTTCTTGGCTCTAGGTCTTGAGAGCATGCCAAAATATTTCCTTTTCCTGTTCCCCACAGCAAATATCTGTGTGGTTTGTTTTTTGGGGTTGTGGGGTGTTTGTTTTTTTGTTTTTTTTTTAGTTACTGGATACATACTGTTTGGTAATTGGCAGCTCTGGAAGCCTTTGTACGTGGCGGCTGAGTTTTGTGGTCAGCTAGGAGCTGCCAAGGGACTAGCTGATAGACAAGCTGCTGTCCTCACTTTGCTCTTTGGATTGTTTGCTTTGGGAACTTGAGCCCGCTCTGTTGCCTCAGCTTACGACTGACCAGGAATTACTGCCCTTGAGGGAGAGGTCTGTTCTCTCCTCTTTATGTATTTTCTTCTCCCGTTTCCCAGGCGTCTAGTATAAACAGGAGTAAACCTGCAAAATGGCTTTATAAGCTGTGCTGACCTGGTAAACTTCATGGGATGTAGGTGAAGTGTCTCCCAGATGTAGCCTGGAACTACGGGGATATGGCCCTCCAGGAGATAAAACCTTACGGCTGCATGTTGCCTAAGCACTGCTCGTGTGGGGGGCCAGTGGGGTGACATATATCCAAGGTGAAGGAACCTCCTGATGGGGAGCTGCGGAGTGTTTTCTCCGAGGGAAAATGCAGGTGTGCCTTGGGGACCACTTGTGGATGAGGAGCCCCGTGCCTGGGTAGGCTGTAGTCTTCACGTGGGAGGCTGGATTCCTTCTGCAGCTCGGGATCGTACAGTACTTCTGGATGAGACTGTGCTCTGCTTGCAGGAGCAGCAGCTCATACCAAACCTCATGATCCCGCAGCTCACAGTTTGGAACCCCTATCCCAAGAGGGAGCAAAGTTCCCATCAAGCATGAATGCTCACGGGGGTTTAATTTAAGCCTTGTTTAGCTGCTTCTGTCCAAGTGGAAGGTAACCAGGCAATCCCTCGGGAACCACAGGAGCCAGCTCAGGTCAGCTGCCATGAGATTGCTTTCCACCCACCCTGCAGACTGCTTTATCCTATTAAGACATTCCACGATCTTTGTTTGGGCTGGGGTGTAGCCAGGCTGGAACGGGACACAAAGTGTTTCATGGCAAAGCCTTCTTGGCCTTAGCATTTCAGAGGGAGTCTTTATTAATTATTGTTTTCCTGCTCTCTGTGTCTGAAAAGCAAGAGGGGCTGTAAGGATATTGGCATGAGATGGTTACGGTCAAGGGAAGCATTTTGAACAGGCATTTCCCTCTCGCGCTTTCTCCTTCCCCAAGAAAATAGCCCAGAAGGTTGCTTCTCACATAGATGATGGGTTGTTACCTAGGTAAATAAGTTTTCTGATTCAAATGTCGTGGTTGCTGGGTAACAGTCACCAAAAATCAAAAGGAAGTTGACATCTTTCCCCTTCTTTTCCAGACCTTTTCGAAAACTGGATGATAATGGCTCACTGCAGTGGGACAAAATAAACCAGCTGGAGAAAGGAAAGATCTACAAAGAGGTAAAGTGACCTGGGTGCCTAAGGGATGTGAAGCAAGAGTCTGAAATGCTGGGGGCTCAGAAGTCCCCAGTTTTGGAAGTCCCTGGAAAAGCCTGTATGTCAGTGGAAAACAGGAAAATCTGCTTGATCAGGGTAGGGGAAAATGATGGGTTCTTCTATAGGTCACTGGTGGATGTTTGACAAGCAAAAAATGGAAATCCTTGGAAAAAAGCGCCCATGCTAGAGTTAGAGGGCACTTGCAAGGAGACACGCTGGGGTCCATGTGCTGCGCTGGCTGGTGGCAGCGAGAGATGCCCTCTGTCCTCGGGCAGGGAGCTCGTGCTCCCTGTCGAATGCTTTCAGCCTGTCCCTGGCACGCTGTGGAGCAACAGCCTCGCGACGTGCGTGCCCCTGGAAGTCCTTCAGCTTCTGCTGGGATGTAAGCTTTGGAATAACGGGCGTTTTCCTAAATTGGAAAGCCCTGCCAAGGGCTGTTGCCTGTCAGCGTGCCGTAAACTGACCTCTGGGAATGGTGAGAGATGCTGCACGCCAGATGTAGAAAAGGCTGTTCTCCCGGCAGTCACGGGTTGCTTTGCAGTCGCAGAAGGCAGAACTGGGCTAAGGTAAACCAGAGCTGCCTGGTAGGAAATCTTTCTATCATCTGCAGCTCTGAAACAGTTTCTGACGTGGCTCTGTGGGGGTGGCTGCAGGAAGGTGTGCAGTGGGGGCGATGTATGCCCCCCGGCTCAGCTGGGCTTGGCGTTGGAGAGGGAGGGGCAAAAGGCAGAGCAGGGCCAGTTGGACTGGACTTAGGATGTTGGGATCCTCTCTGCCCAGGGGGATCTGTGCCGAGTTATCTCTGCCAGGCAGAGCTTCCCCCCACCCCCGCTGCCCTGTTTGGGTGAGAAGGGGTGGCAGGGAAACACCCTCCGCATGCAGAGCAGGGGTCGGTGAATGCCCCCAGCGAAACCTTGGCCCTGGGAACTCTGTTCTGACATTGTCCAGCGTGGCCAACAGTCCAGTTTTCCCTTGGCTCTTCTGATGTCCTGGTCCTAAAACTCTTGTCCTGGAGGGGCTCCCAAGAGTGTGGTAGTTCAGGGTAAGAAGGCAGAGCTTTCTGCAATCTGATGTGTATGCAGAGATCTTCCATGCCTCACTCCAAATTGTCCTCATTACGGTTGGAAAAGGTGGAATTGTGGAGGAGGGAACAGAGAACAAGGGTGATCAAGTAGGGTACAATTCCTGGCTCCTGCCTCTCTCCCCTCATTCCGACGGGTGGGCTGTTACCCTGGTGGACTTGCTGCCTTGGGGTGTTCTCCCTGCAGCTGCTCTGTCCCCAGGGAACAAGTTGCCTCTGGCTTTGGGACGATTTGTTCTTGGTTGTGTGAGCTGTCCAGTCCCACAGGAAGAAACTTCATGAGACTGGGGTCAAGTAGCTGGGAGCTGACCTGCTGTAGGAAAGTAGGTCATGTCCTTGAGGAGCGCTCTTGGGAAGCCTCTGGCTGGTGGGACTGTCAAAGCGCTCTGCTAGCACCCTCTGCCAAGAACTGTGGTTCTTGGGATGTGACAGTGTATCCTGGTTGTAGTCCACCCTGTTCCCATCATTTCTGGTTTCTTGGAGCGCTTCCTTCTGGCAAGTGTTAGTGGCCGTGGACCCTGCTGTGCTGGTGCCGTTGCTAGAGGGCCCAGAGCGGGTTCTGCGTGGCGGTGCTGGGGTATCTCTTACGAATGGGACCCCGGGGACTGGGGTTTTGCACTGGGGACTGGAAAATTCAAGTGATGGCCCTCTAGTCCCTTCTTTCTGATAGCAGTGGTGTTTTCCATCCCTCCCCTAGTTTGCCGTCTCAGGAAGGGGGGAGGATGACAGCCAGCTCCTGCAGGTCACGGAACAGGTCTGTGGCTCAGCGGAGTCCCACGTGCGGATCTCCTGACTGTCAGGTCCAGTGCTGTTTGAGGGGCCCGGAGCACAGCAAAAGAACCATCATCCTCAGTTTCCCTGCTCTGCCAGTGGCTTCCTGAGCAACCCTCAAGTGAGCAGCAGCAATGTCATGTCTGAGAAATGCAGAGGCCTGCCTGGCCCCGTGTTTCCGTGCTGTTAAGCCCGCACAGCTCCGGTGATGCTGCAGCAACGGGAGGCCCAGCACGCTGGCTCGGGGCTCCCTTGGCAGTGCATACAGCACGCCAACAGTGCAGGCTGCAGGGCTGCAGGCTTTCGTGGGAGCTGGTTTGTGTTTGGGGCTTCATGCCTGGGCCAGTAGGTGTGGCCAGCTCTTTCCTGGCACTGGAGAGACAGCTGCCCAGTGGCTCCCAGGTTTGCCTTGACGCTTGTGCTGGCACCATCCAGACTGCTGGCGCTGATGGGGCCTTTTTCTTTCCTAGTGGGGTTTGTTTCCATCGTGACTCATGTGGAAAACTTGTGTGGAGATGGAAGGGGGGTCCCTGACGCCTCCTCTGTGTGTGGATGGATGTTGGGCAGCCTTGAAAGCTGCTCTGCGCTGGTGCTTTGGGGTTTGGCTTGTTCTACTTAGCTGTGAATCTACCCAAGCTGCCGGGCTTCTCGGCTCCGTTAAGCTGTCCCTGTGAAGGTGTGGGCGTTGCTAAGCTTTCAGGTTGGGATGGTGGTCAGGGATGTGAGCACAGCCTCAAGCGCTCCTGGCTGCAGAGCCTTGCGTGGTGGTGCTCACCTCCTATTTGCCTCTCGGGCTGCACCGAGCCCAACAGTGTCTAAACGCAGAACATCTGGGCGTCTTCCACTCAGGCTTCTCTGATTGAGGTGTCTTTCGTTTTGTGCCTCCAAGCTGCCTCCTTTTGTTACCTTTTTAGCCCACGCAGTCCTCTTGACTTGCTGTGCCCTCCAGCACAGACCTTCCCCCCTGAGTTCCATATCGGCTTGGGAAGAGTTTTAGCCTTTTTCTGTCGTCTGCAAAAAGCTCAGGGACGTACCGGGGGTTGTCAGCTGGGGAGGAAAGTGAGGGGAGGTGGGGAAGGCCAGGCACCTCTGGGTGGTGGGTGGGGGAGCGAGCAGGCTGACATCTCATGAGGGCGGTAAGGTGGCACATCCAGCTGCGCTGACAGCGCTGCTGGGGTGGCTGCCCAGTACCACACGGTGAGGATGGAGGCGCTTGGCCTGTAACCGCGTGTCTCTCTGCTCCGTTTACTTGCAGGGCAACCTCTTTGATTTTCTGAGGCTGACAGGCTGGCGTGGGTCCAAAGTGCTCTACTTTGGCGACCATCTGTACAGCGACCTTGCGGTAAGTGGAGAGGTCTCCGCTCCCCAGTGAGGTGGGAGCGAGCCCGCGGGACTGCTGTGCTTGCGGCTGTGCTGGAGCGTGAGGCAGGGCCGGGCTCCGGGTGCTCAGCTCTCCGGTGTGCTGTGCTGGGTGCTCTGCGGGATTCGGGACACACAGGACAGGCATCCCCACTCTGCTGTCACGCGGAACCAAGCAGTTCAAGGGCTCCTGAAGTACGTTCTATGGGTAAAGAACATCGGCTGGTCTGAACTCGAGAGCAGTCTGTGTGAATCCAACATTTCTAGGTGCTTCACACAGCCGGTGGCCGGGGCATGGGTGTTACCGGCATGACCCAGCACGGGTTACGGATGCCTGTCCCCTGGGAATCTGTAATGGGAACAGACCACTCTTCTAGGAAACAGGACTGTGTTTGGCTTTCCATCTTTATGTTGAGTTCTTGGTTGTTATTTCACCCTGACCTCTAGGACCTCATGTTGCGTCATGGCTGGAGGACTGGAGCCATCGTTCCTGAATTGGAGACGGAGATTCGGATCATAAACACAGAGCAGTACATGCACTCCCTGACCTGGCAGCAGGCTCTGACGGGGCTGCTGGAGAGAATGCAGGTAAACAGCTTGTCTGAAAGGGCAGGTACAGCCTGCGACGGGGGCTTAGCGTGGGAATGGGGGCTGTGCCATCTTGCCTGTGTCCTCAGAAATACCTCCTCCTGGTGCGGTGGCCTCGCAGGTTTGTGAGTTACAGCGGAAACTGGGGGGAGCTGGGGTGCCGTCCGTGGGACTGAGACAACGTGGTGCTTTCTGCTGGTGTCTTTGCAGATGTATCAGGATGCAGAGTCGAAACAAGTATTGCTGGAGTGGATGAAGGAGCGGCAGGAGATCAGGTGGGGAAGGCGAGGTGGTCACCCTGTGCTGGGTGTGCTGGGCTGTCTGCTGCTGCAGCTCCTGGCACTGCGGGTGGGTCCCTGCCCCTAATGGGAACGGTAACAAGGAAGAGCAGGAGTGTGGTGAATAGTCATCGCAGTCTCACTGCACAGGGACTGATCTGCATCACAGCCTGAGTGGGAGGGTACGTCGGGTGATCCCAAAACGTTTTCTGGGCGTGGGCTCGCCCAGGCTAAGGGATTGGAGGGGAAAGAATCTGTGACCATGGCCTTTTATCTACAGAGCACCATCTCTTCCCTCACAGGTCGCTGACAAAGAACCTGTTCAACCCCCAGTTTGGCAGCATCTTCCGCACCTTCCACAACCCCACGTACTTCTCTCGACGGCTGGTGCGGTTCTCGGACATCTACATGGATTCCATCAGCTGCCTGCCGAACTACGATGTGAACTTCACCTTCTACCCCCGGCGCACCCCCCTGCAGCACGAGGCTCCGCTCTGGATGGATCAGCTCTGCACAGGCTGCATGAAAACCCCCTTCCTGGAGGAGATGGTGCATATCCGGTGAAGGGCCAGGTACTCCGGGCAGCAGCACAGGGCCAGTCTGTACGTGGGGCCGGGCTGCTCGGCCTGCACCTCTGTCTACCACTAAAGGGCGTTTGACACTTACGGATCTGTGTAGATGGTGTGTTTATTCTCCCTTCACTGGCTCCATCCCTTTCCCTGAGGTGCTTTGCAGGCTGGACAGAGGACAGGTGCTTGTTTGGGGCCGTGAGCGAGCTGCAGGGAGTCAGGAATAGGAGTAGGGGAGATGGAAAGCCAGTGCTGTTGGTGGGAAGCTGCTGCTCCCTGCTCTGTGCCCAGAGCTGTGGCTTGGAGGTGGAGGCCCGGGTCGGTGGTGGGTGTAACACGGACTCCCACGTGAGCGGTGACAAAGCGTGTCAGGTCTGTAGCTGCCCCGAGATTCTGGGGAACTATGGCCTGGGTGATTCTGCAGTGAGGCACATCGGTGAGTGCGTCCCGGATGAGGAAGGACCAGCAGTGGTACCTGTCCAGAACTGGTACCAGCAGCCCTCAGCCCCATCCTGCCCC